AGTAGTTCTTTCATACCAAATTAGTTGAAGTCTAAAAAATGCACATATAGGTAGCTAGTTGGGATTTGGGAATATCATAAATGACTCTTACATGTTGATAAAAATTGAACACATATAGCGACATAGAAGTGCAATCTACTTTAGTACTAATAAAGTAGAGTCATTTCAATTGAAATTGATTTCTACTTAAATTGCAATTGAGTTCAATCATTAGAATTGATAATTTTTAGATTTTGCCCAAAATTGTTACAATTTAAACTAATACAACTTCCCTTCCTGATTTTAGACAACGGCATGCTTCAATCACGGGAGAGACTTATCAGATAAATACGGTAGAGTTTTGATTAGTTTTGAGGTATTTTTTAAAAGGCTAATCAATAGCCGTAAAAATTGCTAGGCACACACCACTATATATTAAGTAGATTAATTTGAATAGATTAGTAATAGGTAGATTATTAGTTTAAATACGTTTAGATTTAAATTAATTCAGTAATATTTTATTTCCCATATCTCATTGCGCATTACGTACTCCATCACTACTGTTAAGCATATGTGTTCTACTAGATAGTTCAATATCATTAATTGTTCCAATTTTTATTATTATTATTCTTATCAACCTAATATTGCATATTAGAAAATAAATATACGGTTGGTGGAGTTTTTAGGTTCAAAAATTTTCTTAACTAGATCCAAATTCTAAAATAAATATATTGGGATTCAATTTAATTTAATTTAATTTATATATGCAATATTGGTGTCATATGTAAGATAATTAAAAGTTATTAATTTTGATTTTTTTTTGTAAAAACTAGATTATAAATAATAAAAGAGTTAAAGGAACTTAAGAAAGAGAGTTTTTTTTAGTTTTGGTCCATGAAGTGATTTGATTTGCTAGCTATTCCCGTTTGCTAAGCTTTGTTGTTCCTGATTTCAAATTTTAAGAGAAAATTGTCAAGTGAGTTGATGTCTTTGGTGCTCTTTGGTTAATTACAGTTCATTCTGATAGTATTTTGATAAATAGATTTAACGGACCCTAATTTTGTAAATATCTTTTTATTAATCATTATTTTTTAAACAAACTCATCAAGCATACTAAATCTTAAGTTATCAATAAGTACCAAAAACTAATTATAAAATGTTATCCTAAATAAACAAGAGAACATATTAGTATAAGAATACCCAGATTCTAGCAAATAGATGATATCGAGCATGAAAATTGTACATTGATTATAACAAGCGCAATTCTTTTCAGTAATTTATTTAACTGACTTTCTGATTGAATTTTAAGATGAGTATTTGTGGACATAATATGTACTTCATGAAGAGCATTTCCTCAAATTTTATACAAAAACTCCACCAGAAACCACCTCAAACGGCAGGACGGTTCTGGTCAAGAGCTCCTGAAAGGAACGATACTCTACGTGTGCGTGATATGAGATCATATAAATCGTGCTCTCAACTTACAAAAAAATGCAAATATTTAAGGTGCATTGGATTTAAGCTCTAAGGGCCGAAAAATACACGGTGACATTTTGTTAAATAAACCAATTTTTCTTGATGCAACATTTTCAATATTAATATGCAATCGTTTATTTCATCACCCAAATTTCAGTATTCAATAATATGTAACACTTCGAATTTCAGTATTCAATACAAATCACGTAAAGAATTGAAGCATCATACAAATTTTGGACAATAAACGCTCTTTGTACACTATATGACGTACTCCACTACATGGTTTTTTATATTACTGCACTACAGTACAGATCTGACTCTTGTGTGTGTTACATGACTACACTATATGTTTTTTTATATTACTCAAATTATTTTCCCTCATCTTTATAGCAATTTGGCAGTTTATCTAGATTTATGCTACCCCCAAAGTGCGTGGTAGAAATTTAAAGACAAAGACGAAGTCTTCACAAAATATGTTTAGGTTGATTTAAAGATCAAGTTTCAAGAAATTTTAATCATTTCAAGGAGTAGCACATTCATTTTTACTTTATTTCCACTTTATCAAATCATTATCAATCACATAACTTTACCTTTTTTTAAAAGCCAAACCATTCCATTCCATCCCTATATTAGGGGACGGAGGTAGTATCATTTACTTAAGATCAGAATGGAAAGCTAGACCTAAATGGAGTTAATGATACAATGACCTTTATATAATCTTAAATTAAATAATCCCATATAATAGAATTGCAAAGTTAAAGTTAAAGCTTATATTAAGTAAAGAAAGATTATAGTAGTCCAGTGACTCATGTGAGATTTCGTTGAATTATGGTGGATGGAAAACTAAAAAACATCCCTCAATACAAGGATGAGAAAAAAATTGCATTTAGAGATTAAAGTAGACGTACTTCTTATTTCCTATTCAAAATTTAGAATAAAATCAATAAATACTAGATAGGTCCTTGAATTCTATTTTTCGGTTTTTGTCAAAATCAGGTGAGGGGATGTCAGAAAATATAGCTATAAATCATAAATAAAGTGTTAGGTATGTGAGACAACTCAATAAATCAATATGAGACATTCGTTAAAACTTTAATTTTATTTTTATGGGCGAGATTAGTCCATAATCAATCGTGATGTTTAAGGCATGAGTGAAAGGTACTATGGTTGAGGACTTGAGGTATTAATAGTGCAGAGTTTAAAAATTAAAGTGAAATAGGGCACAAGTAAACATATAATGAAATTATGATGTTTGTATAGATCGAACCTGTAAAATTCAAATAATAAGACTCCAAAACATTATACTTATATGTGATTGGATAACATCACTTCTATAATCCTTTTTGTGATAAAGTCTGAACATGGTTTGTCACTAATTAAAGAAACTAGACTAACATTACATTTGTTGTTATTATTGATTTCTAAACATGCAATATTGAATCACACTATGACATTCTTTTCCAAGGAGCAGCCTTAGATATAATTGTGGATCTACAAATATATGGACATAAACCTCACCTAATTATTCAAGGAAATATTCCCATTGATTAATTTATTAAAATAAATAAAAACTGTAATATTACACATTTATCAGATAGAAGTCCAATTGATAAAATAACATATAGAATATCAATAATGTCTGATTGAATAAAATTGTGGAAAAAATATTGAACTACCGGATCCTCTCCTTCATGAATTATAGGGAAGATAGATCACATGTTACAATGAAAGAAGTAAAACTTACATATTGTAATTGTAACACAATATTGCTACACAAGAGCAACTCCCAGACAGATTGACTACGTACATGCTACCTTGATGAGTGACCATGTTGGGTGAAGCTCCACTCCAAACCCTGAACCTTTCTCTTCTAACATGGACTCCACAAGTGCAACTGCATAGAGTGATGACTGATATTGAGAGTTACTACTTTGTTGCTCTCAACCTGAAATGGATGCAACTTGGAGAAAATTGTCACGATATTGAGATGTCACTAAAGAGGCGATTCACTGAATTTGAAGAGCGAGACAAGAATTTTGAGTCCAAAATAGTTAAATCTAGAGAGTTGTTGGAAAAGTGTGAAGTAATTGTTTTATCTAAAGAGAAAGCTTTTCTATTTGCACTATTGCTCTCAGTAATTGCTATTTTACAATGTAGACTAGGAGTTCACTTCACCTCCCAAAGGGGCGCATTTACAACAATTTGGACAATTGAGGGGTGACATTTACCATATCAGAAATGGGGGTCTAGCATTTCAATATGCTGACTATTTCAGGTACTAATAGTGTGATTTTTCTGTCATAAAAAATTCAAAAAAAGAAAAACTTATAGAGGCTATGTTCAATTATTGGTAAATATGTATATAGTGCAGGCTTTGGAGAATAAATTATTATGTTAGATTCATATTTATGTGTTAGCATGTAATTAAACTTACTCCAAATACATTTCATTATCCTAATGTTTATTTTTTCTTTTTGTAGTTTATCTTGCCCATTCACTACAAATAGTCAATGTTTCACTAGAATAAGATCCACAATATTTGAATGAATCTCCAACAAAGATGGATAAAATATTTTAATTCACTCTACGAGGTTTTCTACCAAGACCATAAATATAATGTTGTCTATAGAAAAGTTTTACAAAATTGAGAAACATAGCCTTTCCAAATTTTTATGTGCTTTTAGAGCCCGTTTATTGGTAGCACGGAAATCGGCTGTTTTGGCTGATTCTGCTGAAATTTATGAAGTTCTGGCTGAAGTGGCTGCATTGGCTGATTCTGCTGATTTAAGAAAAAAAATATTTTTAAAATATATTCTATTAATAAGATAAAGAAAAAAGTACTTCTTCCGTTCTTTTTTATTAGTTCTCTTAGGGTTTGGCACGAGTTTTAATAATAATGTAGTAGGGTAAGTATAGAATGTGTAGGGTAAATGATAAAGTAGGAAAGAAAAAATATTAAAAAGAGTAAAGTGATGATAAAGTAAGAAAGAGAGTGTATTAACTATTAAGAAGAGTAAAGTGATGGTAAAGTAGGAATGAGAAAGTAGTTTGTAAAAAGTAATTGGGGTAAAAGTAATAAAAGTGAGGGTATTTTCTCAAAAACTTTTCTTAAATGGAATGGAGGAAAAAAAAAACGTCCCAAAAAGGAAAGAAGGATTAATAAAAAAGAACGGAGGAAGTATATGTAAAAATAGCTAAAATGGTCATCTACAGTAACTTCAGCCAATATAGCCAGAAAAACAACACCAACCTTACTTTTTCTGCTTATTACAAAATTCGGTGCGCGAAATAAAAAATTACATGTTTGGTGAAAAAACTGGCTGATAACCCTAATAAGCCGAAAAAGGAGCCGAAAAAGGAGGTCACCAAACGGGCTCTTAGACATATCACGATGTTACAAAATGTATGATCTTTATTACTCTGTATTATTATTATTATTATCATAAATACACATCCTGGTGCTTTACGTACGAATAGGAATTAGTAACTTTATACAGTAAAATACTATAAACATACAATATGAAAACTAAAAATATATATTATACGCAAATTGTCCCGGGGCAACGCCCGGGTACAAAACTAGTTAGATTGAAAGTGTACATAAAATGATTGAAAAAGGGAGTGTATTTCACTGCGAGGCACAAAACTTGTCACTTATATCTAGCAATATTACACTTTTTTAGTCTTCCCATCCCACAATTTGCTGCAAGTATAATAGATTATTACTTCGTGCAACGTATATAATACTACATAAATGCATCTTAGTCCAAATATTGATTATAAATATTAAGTACAAACAAACAGAACTCATTTAAATGTACATTATTAAACAATGCGCATTCATGACATATTTAAAATGAGTGACTCCTCGAAAAAGCCCTTTTCAGAGATAATTTCCAGCTCAATAGCGAGCGAGTCCTAAGCAGGGCCAGAGGTTGGGCCGAACGACGACGTTTTAGAAATGGTGATGATACTTTCGTCATCAATGACTGCGATAACACTTGTTCTTCCTCGCCTCCTTCTGGTTCAACATCGTCGTCGTTGTCTTCAGGATTCCAAAAGCGAGCATCTTTCCTCTTTTTCCTAATTGTTGACAAAACATCATATTTGTTGCATATCCCCCACACTGTCACCTTCTGCTCTTTAAATTCCACATTCACCGAGTATATTCCTGCACCATTTCATCCATTTATTGTGTACCATAAGCCTTATTTTTTTGTACACTCTTATGAAATGTTATTCCATACAAGATGAGTACGCTGCAAAAATTATTGTGAATATTAAGATCGATGAGGATCATCCTCCACAATTGAAGAAACTAGATGTACCATTACATCAATGAGCAAATTGGCCGGGTGGCCTCGGGGATTGAATTTATAATTTAAATCTATGAGCAGTTCAAGCTCATTCCAATTAATATTCAAACATATTCTTCTAATATTTCAAATTGATCATATATAAGACTCATTGCTCATAACTAGATATGCTACTCCGTGGTATATAATTAATGAAAAATTGTCTCTGTTTATTGGAAACACATTCCCCATTCAGCTTCCAATCTCAAAATGTAATTTTGTTACTTAAGAGTCAAATATGTACATCATGAAACCCGCTCAAATGCTAGAATAAACAAGAAAACGTGACATCACTTTAAAAACCAATGCCAAAATAATGAAAACCCAAATTTTTGGAAATATTTAACACAAGAAATTTTACACGTATTATTATTTTTGATATTTTTAAAATTTGAGCTGGACTAGTGCCTAAATTGTCCCCAATATGCCAATGCGTACCTCTAATATGGGATAAGGCGTTCTTGACCTTCCTCACGCATCCGTGAGAATAGAGAGGAACCATCATTTCTACATATTGCGCTTCCACTTTCCTTATGCTGGATGATGTCCCCACCGGAACAATCTGCAAATTATTCTCCGCCATGAATAGATATGCCGCCGCCGCTCCCCGCCCCTTATTTATGTTACTGCCAATATATATCTAGCTTAATTATTAATTACTTAAATTAATGCATCGATCTTGCAATTACGTTTTTGCATATATATGTGTGTGCGCATATATATACACACACAAAGTGGATGGGCATCATATTGCACGAAACGGCCATGCATCTAACTTTACACTATCCTAATCAGAAAGGTGCAGTACTCTAGAATGTATTCATGCCTAAGATTCCACCTTTTTTATTTCGTGACTTAAGATCGATGTATACAGGCAGGACGCGCAACATACATAAAAAATCTCCAAATAGATTTATGCATGCATATTTTGAAATTTTAGTTTACTTATTCTTTTATTAGGATTAAGTAAGGATATTTTCTTTTGGACTGTTTTCCGGACCAGACCAGACTTCCGAAGTTATAAAATGCACAGAGACCAGATCAGATCAGACCAGACCAACAAATTTCAGTCCAAAAGAAAACGTCCTAAGTCTGGTTTTAGGAAGAGAACTTATTGGATCCTATTTTAGAACTTTGACAATACTTTTGTCTTATTTTAATCAAATTCTAAATTTTAAATGTAGTTTTCAAACTTGTACATAGTTTTACTGAAGTTGTTGTACAATGTCATTTTAGTTATTTTTATATTTTTCTTTTTATTTCATTGATGAAATATATTTTAAATTTAATTTTTCAATAATACGGTAGGTTCAGTCAATTCAACAACTTCAATAAAAGCTTCATTAGTTACGTTTCGATCAACACATTCAACCGGGTTCAATCATTTTCAATGTAATCAAACAAGCTCATAGTTATACAAATATTAGTAGTGGATCATATTTTCAAAATTTCTTGGAGAACGCTCAAACTTTATGTCTTCACGGGTAAAGTGTGAAAATGAGGTCACTACTCACTATCTTGTTAGTCGTTGATGCGCACAAGCAAAACTAAAGTGCTTGTTGCGGGTGACATCTGGATCATCTCTATTCCTATGAGTATATTTTTTCTTCTCATACGTAAATATTTGAGCGAGTTAGTTGCTCCATTACTTAGTCTAGAAGTATATGTATGTATCAATTTAAGCGCAAAGATAAATACGTAGTAGTTTAATACGTAGTAGTGTAGTAGTACTACGTATATATATACTCCATAATAGAATTGAATACGTAGGGTGGATCTTGTATTAAGATAGAATGTCAAGTGTTACGTTCTTTTTGTTGTAAATTCCTGAGAATGACAAGTGTGAATTGTTCATCCTTGTCATCAGGACACTAATCCAATTTCCATCCTTGTAATAAACAGATGGCTAGGTTTAATGTTGCCAGCATATTATGTAGAATGATTCTTTGATGATTCATCACCAAGCTCCATCAGTATAAATAGGGGTTTGGTGATGCCTTGTAAATGTACTTAGAAACTCAGAAATTATCAGTTATATTAAGAAGAAGTGATTTAGAGGTTTTTTATCAATATATCTATCTCTTTATTTAAGTCTTCATCTTCTTCATTTTACAACACGTTATCAGCACGAAACTGCTCAAAACTCTTCAAGAAATCATCATCTCCTACAGGTATTAGCATCGATATTTATTATCTTCTTTTAGTATTCAAACCTGAAATTTATTCTATGTTTTAAATAAATTTTCTATCATATACGGAAAGAAAATATAGATAACATACCTCTGAACAGTTTGATTTCTTCAATCAATTTTGATAAAACTCTAACAGGAGAAGAGAAAATTGACTTAATTACGAAAGATAAGTCATAATACTCCACCATAGAATACCCAGTAATACAGAAGTTGAAAAATGAGAAATATAAATAGAATAGTGGTTGGATATTGTTTATAAGGAGTACGTGATAGAATGAAAGATAGAGAACTAAAATTGAAATTTCAAATTTCTGTGATATAAGTATTGACTTAAGGAAAGAGTCGGCCAATGTAGGAAGAAATGAGATGATAAAATAGCAGGCGGTGGAGTATGAGTTCCAATTTATGTTAGAGATGGATATTCACGGGTCTTAAATCGAGAAGTATACAGACTTTATTAGTACACTGGACAGTTGTCAACCTGCTGCATGTGTGTTTTACGAAGTATATTCACGGGTCATAAGAAAACAAATATAATAACCTGTCCAAGAGGCGATTGTTTAATTTTAAACTAGATGAAATTCATTACTCCCTAATACTATGTACTACGTATTAGTTAATACTTGTACTACATAATGAGTAGTTCTGAAATAACATGGAGCAATGAAGATGAAAACCGAAGGAGTATAAAAAATAAAATAGGTTGAATTCTAAAAATAAAATTAAACTGAATCTTAAGAGTTGAGAAATCCTTATTACTAGTACCGATAGTATAATTTACACAGGTGCACATTTAATTTTAATAATATTGAAATGAATGAATACATATTTATATAAAAGGGCACGTACATTATTAAAGTTTACGTATATTATGAATGAATATGATACCATATTTATTTACATTTTGTAAAATGTTTAGTAATAAATGTCTATAACTCTTGTAGTATTATGGCAAACATAAGCAAAAAAGAATTCGACGTTCTTGATCTGTCCGGTCAAAAATATTTGGAATGGAAAGTGGATGCTTTAGCACATTTAAAGGCCAACGGTCTCGAAGACACTATTGAGGCAAATAAGCCATCATCTTCCCAAAACAAAGCGAAAGCTATCATTTTCCTCCGTCATCACCTCCATGAAAGTCTCAAATCTGAATATCTTTTGGTTGATGATCCAAAAGAATTATGGGACAATTTACAAGAGAGGTATGGCCACCAGCAAAAGGTACTTTTGCCAAAAGCTCAGTATGACTGGATCAATTTAAGATTCCAGGATTTTAAATCAATCAGTGACTATAATTCTTCCATGTTCCAAATAACATCTAAACTAAAGTTATGCGGACAAAAAGTCACTGATGCTGATATGTTGGAGAAAACCTTTTCTACAATGCATATTTCTAATATGCTGCTACAGCAGCAATATAGAGAAAAGGGTTTTAAAAAATACTCCGACTTAATATCAGTATTACTTGTAGCTGAGCAAAATAATGACCTTTTGATGAAGAATCACAATTTAAGACCCACTGGTTCTAGTCCTTCGATTTATGGTCCATCTGGACATAATATAGCCACTGAATCAAACGCAACACACAGTGGCACGCGAAGGCATTTTAAACACGGGCATTTTAATGGTCATAATAACAAGCCTAACCGGGGATATAAACAGGTCAATAGACCAAATTATAAAGGCAAGGGCAAACAAAAGGCCCATCAAATAAATCGCCCTCCAAAATCCTCGGGAAAGTCAACTTGTTATAAATGTGGTATGACGGGGCACTGGGCTAACAAATGCCGTACAGCAAAGCATTTGGTGGAATTATTTCAAGCTTCCATGAATCTCAACAAAGATAAAAATATGGAAGCTAATTATGTCAATGACACAACTCCACCTCTGCCAAAGTTTGACGTGTCCGATTTTTTCGTGGATGATGTCATTATGGACGATGCTTTTGCCACTAATCCAAATGACACAAAATAAATTATAGGACTTTCATATTGTAAATTATGTATTTTCTTTCGTATCCTTTATGATGTTATCATAAATAAGTTATGTAATAAATGTACTTTAATGTTATATATGATGCATAATTTGTGTTATTTGCATATCAAACTTATGCTTATTTATATATTGAAGATATGGATCAATCAAGTGATAAAGAGCTATGTCTGATAGACAGCGCCACAACGCACACCATTTTGAGGAATAAAATCTATTTTTCTCAAATGACTTTAGTTGAAGCTAAAGTCAATACAATATCAGGTGTTGCGAAGCTCATTGAAGGCTCTGGGAAAGCATATGTGATGTTCCCTAACGGGACAAAATTACTTATAAATGACGCTTTATACTCCAGCAAATCGCGGAGAAATTTATTAAGCTTTAAAGATATGCGTCAAAATGGTTATCACATAGAAACCATGAATGAAAACCAAAAGGAATATCTTTGTCTTACGACAACTAAATCTGGCACTAAACATATTTGTGAAAAAATGTCAGCTTATTCCTCAGGACTATATTTCACTTATATTAGTCCATTCGAAATAAATTTGGTCTCTAACGCAAAGTTAGATGATCAGAAAACATTCATGTTGTGGCATGACCGTTTAGGTCACCCAGGCCAAGTAATGATGCATAAAATCATTAAAACTTCACTTGGACACCCATTAAAGAATATCAGGGTTCCATTATCAAGTGATTTTCCTTGTAAGGCCTGTTCTCTTGGCAAAATGATCATCAGGCCTTCTAAGACCAAAATTGCAACTGAATCACCTGCATTTTTAGAAAGGATTCAAGGAGATATTTGTGGGCCGATAGCCCCGCCATGTGGACCATTTCAATATTTTATGGTGTTGATTGATGCTTCAACACGTTGATCACATGTTAGTCTTTTATCGACTAGAAATTTAGCATTTGCTAAACTCCTTGCTCAAATTATACGATTAAGAGCTCATTTTCCGGATCATTCTATACAGAGAATCCGACTTGATAATGCAGGAGAATTTACTTCCCAATCATTTAACGACTATTGTATGTCAATTGGGATTGATGTGGAGCACCTAGTTGCTCATGTCCATACACAAAATGGTCTTGCTGAATCTTTGATTAAACGATTACAATTAATCGCCAGACCATTATTAATGAAGTGTAATTTACCTTCATCAGCTTGGGGACATGCTATTTTGCATGCAGCAAATTTCATTCGGCTTAGACCGACTGCGTATCATGAATATTCCCCAATGCAATTAGTTACTGGACAAGAGCCAAACTTAGCACACATAAAGATATTTGGTTGTGTAACTTGTGTTGTTTATGTTCCGATTGCTCCACCTCATCGTACAAAACTGGGTCCTCAAAGAAGGTTGGGAATTTATGTTGGATTTGAATCTCCCTCAATAATAAAATATCTTGAACCGATGACTGGTGACTTATTCACCGCACGGTTCGCTGATTGTCATTTCAATGAGACAGTATTCCCAACCTTAGGGGGAGAAACTAATAAATCGGACCCAAGTACGAAAGAAATAACATGGAATGCAACAAGATTATCACACCTTGATTCTAAATCAAATATATGTGAGCAAGAGGTGCAAAAGATAATCCATTTACAAAATGTTGCAAATCAGTTGCCTGATGCATTCACAGATACAAAGAAAGTGACAAAGTCACATATTCCTTCTATGAATGTCCCTGCCAGAATTGAAATTCCAGCGGAGAATTCTGAAAAATCTCTTGCAAATGATTCTTCTATACGCAAAAAGCGTGGCAGACCACTTGGATCAAAAGACATAAAACCAAGAAAGACTAAAAGGCAGGAATTGATTTGTGATGCCAAAGATGTTCATCCTTCTGAACAAGAAAATGAACAATTTGAAAATACTGGCATAGAAAATGATATTGACAAAACAAACATCTCAAATAATGATTCAACTTCCTTAAATGAGGAAGATATTCCAGATACTGATAGAAACGTTGATAATTATGAAATTTCAATAAATTACGTTTCTACTGGAATGCAATGGAATCGAAAAGATATTGATATTAATGAGATATTTGTCTATGCCGTTGCCACAAATGTTATGAATGAAAACAATGACAATGAGCCAACATCAATAGAAGAATGTCGGAAACGACACGATTGGCCAAAATGGAATGAAGCTATTCAGGCTGAATTAAAATCACTTGAAAAACGTGATGTTTTTGGACTGATAGTCCCTACGCCAAAAGGCGTAAAACCTGTGGGTTTTAAATGGGTATTTGTGCGTAAACGCAATGAAAAGAATGAAATTGTTAGATATAAAGCCCGACTTGTTGTCCAAGGTTTTTCTCAAATGCCGGGAATTGATTATGAAGAAACCTATTCTCCAGTAGTGGATGCAACTACATTAAGGTTTTTCATTGGCATGTTTGTTTTTCAAAGGCTGCAAATGCGCCTAATGGATGTAGTGACCGCATATTTATACGGTTCACTTGATACAGACATTTATATGAAAGTTCCCGGTGGATTTAAAATGCCTGAAGCTTATAGCTCGAAACCCCGAGACATGTTTTCCATTAAATTACAAAAGTCATTGTATGGACTAAAACAATCTGGACGAATGTGGTATAATCGTCTCAGTGAATACCTTCTCAAAGAAGGATATAAGAATGATCCGATTAGTCCATGTGTTTTCATTCGGCGATCAAATTCGGGATTCGCCATAATTGCAGTATATGTTGATGACTTAAACATTATTGGAACTCCCGATGAAATTGAAAATACTGCAAAATATCTTATGAAAGAATTTGAAATGAAAGATCTCGGGAGAACCAAATTTTGTCTCGGACTTCAAATTGAGCATTTGAAGAATGGAATTTTCATCCACCAATCCAATTACACCGAGAAAGTGTTGAAGAGATTCTATATGGACAAAGCTCATCCTTTGACTTCACCAATGGTCATTCGATCTCTCAACATACACGATGATCCATTTCGTCCCCGAGAAGACGACGAAGAAATACTCGGTCCTGAAGTACCATATCTGAGTGCTATTGGAGCTTTAATGTATTTAGCTAATAATACTAGACCAGATATTGCATTTTCTGTAAATTTATTAGCTAGATACAGTTCATGCCCAACAAGACGTCATTGGAACGGGATCAAGCACATATTCCGTTATCTCCGTGGTACAGTTGATCTCGGCCTATTCTACCACAAAGATGCAAAAGCTTCTTTAATCGGATATGCAGACGCTAGATACCTATCAGATCCTCAAAAGGCAAAATCACAAACCGGGTACGTATTTACTTATGGTAATACCGCAATCTCTTGGAGATCTATGAAACAGACGTTGACAGCTACATCATCAAATCATTCGGAGTTAATTGCACTTTATGAAACCGGGAGGGAATGCGTGTGGCTGCGATCTATGATTCA